AAACTCAAGCATCAAATATAAAATACCTGGCATTAATGGGTTATAGATGGACATACAGTTGCACTGCCCTTCAAACACAAAAGATGGCACACAATATTACGATAACACCCCCATGTGACTTTTCAATCAAGAATGACTTAAATCGCTGTAGAGGTTTCGACACCGACTACTGCTGCTATAAATTATATCTAACAATTTCATCTATAAAGGTCTCCTTGGAGGTAGAGATACACCAGACATGAAGTTTATACAGGAACTTAGAAATATACAAAAAATCATCACAGGGAAAGCCTATGACTATAAGGAATAGAGGCATCAACGAAGCTGCCCTCGGGGAGTTCCTAAAATGTGAAGAGACACTGCCACGGAAAGCTACCATTGGCTTTTTAATAGAATCCGGGATGGTAATGTGCACAGGAACGTGCTCCTACAGTGTCCCGAGGTGCTTTGAGGCGAGCAGGTGCGAGCATGAGAATGAGGTCCGTGGAGGCCCCCTCCTTACAAACACGCAGAGAAAGGAAGCTAATGAAGTGGCCATGCTATCTGCTATCAGCAGATGTCCGAACACCGGGGCTACAAATTAGCCGCCATGGAGGGAGCAGAGTGTGGAGACGGTTTTGGGAAAAGCGGGGCTTGCAGCTTTGGTTTTTGGCTTTTGGGGGGCTTCACCGCATCCTGGGATAATAGAGGGTTTGTCCTTATTCTTATTTTCACAAACTGGGAGCGCAATTCACACTGTGAACGGAGACAGCGGCGATGTTTTACACACACACCAAGAGGCAGTCCGATTTGGAGTTTAGTTGTTAGGAGAAAGAATTCTTCAGGGTGCCTGTTTATTGCTGGCTCATTCCAGTCTGACACCACGGGGATAGCGAGTTTTGAAATAGGCCGCGTTTGTCTGGTTTACAGCACGACGTGGTGGTCGAATAAAGGCCTGAAGGTCACTCTTTATGTGAATTTGGGTTTTACAAGATAAGCAAACGGGCAGAAAAAAGAAATTTTCTCACAGCCAGACATAGTGGTTTGCTTCTGCAAATGCTTAAAATACCTATATCTGTCCTTGCATGTGTTCAATCGTTATCCTGCTGGAAAATTCAACTGTAAGGCTGAGGTCTTTTCAAACTCCAAACTCGCTCTGAACTCAGTTTTGCCCTCAATATTGGCTGCTGTGTTTCTCCTTTTATTCCTCCCTCTGTCAACTCCATGCTATACAGTAGGGATGGTGTCATGTGGGTATTGAATTGTTCCCGGAATCTGCCAGACATAACGCTGCACACAACAAATGAAAAAGTTCATTTTCTGTTTAATCAAAATTTTCACGAGTCTGCCTGCAAACTCTGGGGGCCCACACGCACAAAAACAATGCAGACACTGCTTTCTGCAGCTTTGTGCGATCTGACAATGCGTCCAACAGTAGGAAAATGTCAGAAGAGGGAGTCCGGACACATTTTGTGGTGAGGTTTAATCTTTTCACAGCACAACTATTTCTTTTTCTTTTCATCACATAAAACAGCAGGACAGTCTCCTCTCTCGGCCTTTTATTTGGAATCTTTAGTACCTGTAGGCACCTGTGCAACCATGATGAAAAACATGTTTGATCGTGGCTGTAGTTCGTTTTACTAAATCTACCTTAACACGCAAGTCTGTCTCTCACTTATTTGACATTTCCAGCCTGTCTGCGGACTGCATATGTACAGCAGATCGTCACAAAGAGGTCCCAGTCCCGCAGCGTCGCTGGCTACATCCATAGTGAGCCAAATTGAAATCAAAAGCAGAACCAAACACATTCACGATACAAAGCTCCGTATAAACCTAAGATCTCACTACAATGGTAGTGATTATGATTCAAAAAAATAAAAATCAACAACTAGAATACGTCTCACATCACATTTCTGCATTATTGTTCGCCGTGTGTCTATGTGGGTTCTCTCCGGGTACTCCAGCTTCCTCCCACCGTCCAAAGACATGCAGTTAGTGGGGTTAGGTTAACTGGTGATTCTAAATTGTCCAAATGTGTGAGTGTGAATGGTTGTATATCTGTGTTAGATTTGCGACTGCCGACCTGTCCAGGGTGTAGACTGCTTCTCACCCTATGGCAGCTGAGATAGTCTCCAACCCACCTGCAAACCTGAATTGTAGAAGTGGATGG